CTATATATTATGAAGTTTTGGTAAAGTTTAGTTGCGGCCTTAAAAACTTTTACTAATAGCATATGCTTAATTTTTGCGTAAAAAATTTTTAGTATATGAGATCATATGACAAATGATCTACATTCACCCTGCCCTTAAAATTATTTCGTATCCATCATATAATTGACCTCAGTCAAATCGCATAATTTACCCATCGCATCGCATAATCCTGGACACCCTACTGTGGGTGAGCTACAGGGGTTACCAACATTTTTGCAGTAACGTGATGTGGCGCATGAGAAATGACCAATCGGGATACGTAAATTTTGATCGTTCGACGTCAAAACAAAACACGTGCGCAAGAAGAAAAAAAAGAGAAAAAAGCGAAAATACTCAAAATAATGTTTAAATCGGCCTTTGGTCACTAACAAAAAATGTCGGGAGCGTAATTTTACATATGGAGATAATCTTTTAAGGCCCATAACCACGAACCATAACCGGAAACATAACATAAAGCTAAAAAAGCTTATCCGAATATACCACAATACGCCACATCACGTTACTGCAAAAGTGTCTGAGTCATTGGTCATTGGACATTGCAATGTATAATATCTAAAATTCGATAACCTCACAAAACCGATACAAAAGCTGTCCAACATACCTATCGGATTTGAGAGGGTGAACTGTATTTTTTAAAAAAATTTATGTAAATAGGTTTTAATAAAAATTCAAATTTTTAATACATACAGTCGACCCTAAATACAAAAAATCTCTATAACAAACCTACTCTAACAAAAAAATTATTAAAGTCCGGTATAGAAGCATAGTAAATTACTCTAAAAACTTTTTACAATAAAAACCATCAGCTCATTGTAAAGAAAGTTGACTGTATTCTAAAGTTGAATAACTTTTTATTAATATATTTTTATTTACGTCTTACAAAATATTGAGAACCAGGTCTTAAAATTTGTTTCTAAACCAAACCAAGTTTAGCTTAGGTTTGAGTTCTAAACCAAACCAAGTTTAACTTAGGCTTGGTTCTAAGCCAAACCAAGTTTAACTTAGGTTTAGTTTCAGAACCTAAACCAAACCTAAACTAACACTTTACCATCCTTAACTTCGGCCCCACGAACATCTTCCAAAAACTTTACAGGATCAATAAATGTAAGTGGAGGGGAAGGCTTAGATGGCATAGGAGTAATCAATTGCGTGGCTGATAGCGCTTGTTTAAGAGATACCCTACTTCTTTGTGTATTTGTCTCAAAAATTTGTTCTTCTAATTTTGGAATAAGTTCCAAAGTTATGTTTTCACTGTCTTCATTATTTTCACGTTGTCCAGTCAATTCTTCAATTATTTTGTTAGCATAAGCGTTTAATTTTGCACTTAATTCTGAAGAATCTTGTGGTATTCGGTTTTTATATTTCCGCGTGGCGAATCCGATAGCCGGCTTTTCATACGGTGTATATTGACGATCTTTTGTTCTGCCGAATATACGTGCGCTTGAAGGCGCATATTTAGACATTGATTGTGTGTGATCCGGAGTAGATGCAGCAGAGATTGACACCGATATGGTAGCCGTAGTTGTCAGCCCTTCTGCTGTTGACGTGGCAGTTGCTGTCACTTTTGATGGTTTTGGTATAGAATTTATAGCAGCCTTTGACTCCTTCACCAAAGGTGGTTTATATGAGGAAAGCGGCGCAGATCTTTTCTTGTTTGTTGATGTCTGCATAGGTTTGGTTTTATTAGAGCCTACGACTGGTACATTTATCGTGCGGGATGGTAAGGGTGGTCGTGTAGGTTTCGTATTGTTGGATTTGCTAGTATTCAAAACTCGACTAGCTTTTGTTTTTTCTTCTTGATTTGTTCCTGATCGATCTTTGGACTTGACACGTTGAACTCCTTTGTGCAGTCCCAACCGATGTAGTTATTATAAGTATATTGAGATTATTTCATTCCATTTTCACTAACATAATAATAAGTACACATTATGCGATGTTTTGTCGGGACCATTATTGATCGAACTCACCAGCTCCAGTACACGTGATATCATCTTGAATCGTTTCCGATTTTTCAGATATGACATTTGTTTTTTTGTCTTTAACATTTTCATCATTTTTCATGTATATGATGACGTCATCCTGCATTTGTTGCGTATTATATTTACGACTTTTTTGTAATGCTTTAATACGTGGACGATGATTACTCGCTGGTTCTTGAATTCCCAAATTTTTTTTCGCATTAGAAGATAAAGTGTTAACAAACCTGAATTTATGAAATTTTGTGTTAACATAAAGCATAGTGCTAAAATCATATGATTACATAAATGATAACTCACTCCTCTAGTCGTAAATCAAATTTTACTTTGTAAATCTCTAAAATTTTCTTTGAAGTTGCCCTGACAGCTGGCGCAGAGTCTATTGCCCCCTCTCTAATAATCCACTCCAAATCAGCAATATAATTATTCAAATTTCCAACCTCATTTACCTCAATACTAACAAGAACAAATTCAGATGCGCAAGTTCTCAATATTTTACTTTGACCTTGCAGTGCTTCTTTAAATTTTGGTATCAAGTTCGGAATATGACACCCTCGGATTATTGTCATCATGCATTTTTGAGCTCTATTAATAAAAATTTTATTTGCGCGCGTGCAGAGCTTCAGAATGGCCGGCACGAACGATTCCGCAAGGGTATCGAATTTTGGTCCGAGAACTCTACCAATTTCTTCAACCAATTCTGTTGCTGTTCCAGACAATCGCGTCCGTTCCGTAAGTATCTGTTTAAAATAAGCAAAAAAATTGTATTTGAAAAATCTTGCTTATTTCATACGTCCAACTTGCTCAATTTTTATACATTACCGAATCCAGAATAGGTTGCCTCAAAGATTTTATCCCAGATATGAATGTTTTTTCGTAGTTGATAGCACCGCCACGACTCAAAGAAGCCAAACGTTTTAACGCATCATCAAACAACTGCCACGTATGCTCTGTTTCTTTTACTTGAAATGTTTCTTGAATTTTTTTTATTTCATTTTCAAGTTGCGCTGCGCTCTCGACCTATTTATTAGATATGTCAGTTAAAATCCCAAATGAATAACAAATATTTAATTAAATTCATTTTTTTTTTTTCACCTTTATTTCAGACATTTTGTTAACTAAAAGGTCGCGAAAAAATTATATAACTTGTTTATATAACATAGGGAGAATTTCGTCTGATTGGTTAATGTTTATTTAAGTTTATATAGAGGCGCAATATACATCAATTTATAAAATATTGACTGGCGCAAATTACCTTTTGATTATTTCACAAAGACCCCTGAAAATTTTTTTTTTAGTGGTTCAGCGTTTTTTTATTTTTATTTCACAAAAGGAAAATCCTATTGCCGTGTTAGGGTCGTTTTTTTACAATAACGATAAATACAGTAACATCGAGCTCAATTTGTGCATAAATGTTACACGGGATTTTACATCAAACGCCCGATTTGGCGGAGTGGTATCACGTGATATAACCAATCAAATTATAGAATTTTGATGAAGCAAATTTTAATAATATAAAAACGAAAAACAAAAAATACAAAAGAAAATTTCTATGTGCGGGTAATAAGAAAGCCAATCAGATTACACGATCAGGTGTAACGCAAAATTATTGCTTTCTTTAAATAAAAAAAATTCCTTGCGAAATTTTGATATAAACTATCCACTGATCGACAGCGATTGACCAATTAGATTACAAGATCAGGCGTAACGTGAAATCAAAACAAAATCAGCATACTCCTTCTGCGCATTAGTAAAAAAATTCCCTTGCAAAACTTTAGTATAAACAAGCCCCGTTATTATTGTAAACCTGACCTTAATGTATCGTTTTATAACTTTAAAAAAATTGTCTTATCCTAACCTTAAACAGCGCTCAATTTTTTGTTTTATACGAATTATTTTGATTTGCACATTACACAAATTCGCAAATTAATAAACGGCAGTCTAAACCTATCTCAGATGGGGTTATCGGGAAGGCAATTTGCTAATATATAACTATCTAAAACCTAAACTAATTTTAATATAAGATAACTTTAACTCTAAAGTCAATAATATATATGTTAATATAGATCGACGCATCTAAATTTTATATTGTATTTAAAATTTAAACAATTTCTCTAGTATTTAAAAGTTTTTGTTACAAAATTTTAAAAGAAAATTTCTTAGTGTACATGGTGTGTATTGTACACGGATATTAATTTGCAAATCTGTGTAATGTGTAAATCAAAACAATTTGTATAAAACTTTACTTTGGGTTAGGATAAGGGTGCATTTAGAATTGGGGTTTATACCAAATTTTGCAAGGAATTTTTTTTGTTAGAATCCAAAAGGTGGGTTTATAAGCAAA